ATCCTAATCTGCTGCCCAGAGACAAAGGCCAGGGGAAGAGGGAAGAAATGCTTCCTATGATTTGGAGTGGAGGTGCAGGGAGGCCCCATTCTGGGCCTGGAATTCCTGTGATGGAGGGGACCATTTGTTGGTTTGATAGCCTGGGATTCTTCTCCTCTCTGCGTGCCCACAAAAACCTTGAGAGGGTCCCATTTCCCGCTCTTGTAACTCCGGAGGAAACTATGCTTCCATTTCTAAAGAAAATGGAATCCGATTTGGTGGTGGTAACGGTGGGGTATTGCTCGGTCGAGGAGCGATGGAGAGTGTGCTCAATATTCCACGGGGGGAAAATTGAAGGCGGAATAGGGCAAAGAAAAGGGAGCTTGGGTTCTTAAAGGGCGAGACCTGGAGGTGGAGCGGAGTTCACCGCGCAGTGAACCCGCTGGGCCGGTCGCGCAGCCCGCAGCCCCCGCCCAGAGCCCTATTGTCCGCGGGCAGAGCCCGGGGTCGTGACCCAGCTGAAGGCGACACGGCGCCCGGAGCGGCCGTGGCGTGGAACCCGGAGGGGGCGCCGGGCCGCCGGCGGCCTCTCGCACCTCACCTTTGCCCGGGCTGGCCCTATTTCGCCATCCTCAGGACCCTGGTCGCTCTAGAAGGGAGCCGGGACCCCCGGAGACGGCGGCCGCTTTGTGCCCCATTCTCTGGCAACGGCTGCCTGGGAAGCCATGGGCCGGCGGCGGGAACCTAGGGTCGCACAGTCTGGCAGTGCCTCCTCCACGCTCCGTCTTAAAGCTGGTCCCCCGGAAGTTCAAATATATCTCCCTTTCCCAATCTCGGAGGCTGGGCAGAGAGGGTCAGAAAGGAGGAATGGGTAAAGGTGACACCTCTTTGGGCTTGACCCTTACCCCATCCCCACTGGCAGAAGAGACCCTAGAGGACCCTCCCTCTTAGGAAATCTGGCAATTGCTGACAGGGACTGGAAATTTAAAATAGTCCTTTCCATGTATTAGACTCTGTCACCCTGTTCACCCTCAAACGCGGGAGATCCTCCCTACCCATCCTTGTCTTCCCTGCCTCCTAATCTATCAGCTAGGCGGATCTGCAGGGACTGGGAAACATGGAGGTGATGCTGCAGAGGCCTTCGCGCCTGTCTGCATGGATGTACGCTCTGCTTCAGGATGGACCCAGCCACGGGGCTGGCCCCAGAGAGAAGAGAAGACAAACCCTGAGGACTGGAGACAAGAGCCAGCTCTTCGAAGGGGCTCCTGGCTGCTACCAAATCCAAAAGAGAAGCCCACATCTGGAGCTACAGGGATTTTAGGGTGGCTGAGGGGACCCTTTCGGGTCTCTGGCTCAAACAGTGTACTCAGCCATTTTTCATTCCCAAGAGGCAACTAAAACTCTGATACCCCAAATAGCCACAAGCTGCAGAGAAAAAATTTAAATGGAGTTAGCTATATGGGGGGGGGTAGAAAAAGCAGGCCAAGTTGGTGAGGTTGTGGGGGCGATCAGTTCAGTCAGAAAGGTTGGTCAGAGGCAAAGACTTTTTTCCTACCAAATCCCCCAAATATTTGTTTTGGGCTCCTGCCCACCCAGATAAATCAAGCTAACAGATTAGGAAGTGCATAAAATTGTATTCTTAGATAATGATATCCAGAGAGGTAATAAATATTCCCTCTGCTCTGGTGGCCACTGGAGTTGGGGGAATCCCCCGTCTCTTTTTCCAAGCCTGGGAAGGGTCTCTTAGAATTAGCTCTCCGAAAGTGGGGTACCAGATAGAAACTGTGGAAAACTATGAGAAGTAGCTTTGTGAGGGCGATGGCACGCTTCCCCAGCACTGGGCAAAAATTGGAGGAAAAGATGGTGGAATTGTCCCCGCACACTGCTCTTCCCCATCATGGCACCCTCAATCTTGAGGGCCCCATCGGAGTCTGTCTTCTCTTATCTTGGACAAGCAGACAAATGGTGCCTAGCAGAGGGTACCCTCGTCCCAAGCTCTGGAGAACCCCTTGTTTTATCTTCCATTCCACTCCCCCAAACACACACATACACATCCATCTAACAGCGGGAAGGCAGCTCTGAACTGCAATCCGCTAAGTCCACGCATATGAAAAAAAAAAAAAAGCTGATGCACAGATTGCAGAGCAAACTTTGTAGGAAACTTCATACAAGCAGCAGCAAGACGCCCTCAGAGAAGTAAAGTTCCCCAGTCCTTCCCCCCTTCCACAGGCTCACTTTCGCTCCCCACCGTCTTTCTGAGCCAAGTTTCTTCACTCCCCAGGTACACAACTCAGCACAGAAACTCCATTTTCCCCAAGCAGAAGCCCTCTGTTCGTGATTGGATTTCCCGCCTTCCCTCCCCAAGATCGGGAGTTGAGCTAAAAATGGAATGGCAAACAGAGACAGAGTTGTAACTGCTGTGCTCCTCGCCCTGAGCAGATCGAGTGCTAACTACTTACATGGCAAGGGGATTTGTGACCTGTGGGGATCTCCTGGTGCTTGGAGAGAAGGACCTTGGAAGATTGCCGCTTTCACCCGGTCTTCTTTTAACTTAGCCATTGGAGAGAGAGATACAATGCGCTGGCAGGCATTCATGCGCCTTGCCTCTCCCATTACTCTGGGTAAGAAATCCCCAGCCCTTCAAAAGCAGGGGCATCCTATCTGGAGACCAGGGGCTGAGCAAAGCCTAGCTTGGGAGGGTCGAAGATGGGGGTGGGGGAGAGGTCAGAGGCGCTGCCGAATATAAAGGCGATGGGAGAGAAAATGCTGTGTCCTCCCCGTGAACCTGGGCTGCGTTCTCCCCCACCCCCCAGCCTTTCCCCTCTGCTCAACCCAACTTCGATAAAAGCTCTAACCCTCTGCTTGCCAATGAGGCTGTGGCAGCATCACATGGAGCAGCAGCCCCAGCGGGGGACCCAGACTGCTGGAACAAGGAGCCCCGCTCAGGTCGGCCCTCCACTTCCCGCACTCCACCCCACCCCGTCCCTCTCCCGCACCCTGATCCCATTCTGGGGTGGTCAGGCCCAAGGAAAGGAGAGCTCCCGGGAAAGGGGAGAGAATGGAGCCCACTGGAGGGAAGGCCAGAGGCCAAAATCTTCAAAAACTCAAACGAATGAGGGTTTAGTTTTGTTTCATTTGTCAAGAATTATGATTTCTGATGTTTCCCCTTGTCACACCAAGAGGCACTGAGAACAGCTATGTGTGTATGCGTGAGACGGGAGGGAGTAACTGAACTCCCTAAAGAAGGCAAATAAAAGAACCATCCCAATCCTCTCCTGCTGCTTTCCTGGGCTAGAGTGTCCTTTCGGCAAGTTCAGGGAGAAGCTTGAGAAAGAAAAGATAGTCATTTTCCTCCTCGCTTTCATCTCTTCCACTTTAGGGAAGAGAGGGGAATAAATTCCTCTAAAACCAAAGGAGAAAAGTTAAAAAGACTATAGATCCTAAGATCCTTTTCTTTTTTTTTTTTCCCCCTCTTCCTCCATATAAACTTCCTTACTGGGTTGCAAAGACACCCAAGTCCACCCCTCAGTCCTTCCTTCCCTTCTCCCAAGCACTGTTAGACCCCCTTTTCCTGCCCCAAAGTCAATTGCCTCAAGATGCTAGGAGCTACAGTCAGATTTGGCCCCTAATTCACTTGATTACATGAAGTAACTCCAGATAATTGTTGGCCCTGCTCGCTCACACTGCAGGCAGCATGTTTTGCTATCTCCAGGGCACCATTGAGGGAGAAGAAAGTAGACCTATAGGACCAAGTGATATCCCCCAAAACGCACAAATACACACACACACACACACGCACCCCACTCCAAGTACCAGCCAGCAAGTGGTTCGAGAGGAAATAAATCCAAAGCACACCGAACAACAGATTTTCACAACTGGTCCCATTGTTACCTTTCCCTCCAGAATTTGGGGAGAGGGGATAGGGGTATCCTCAGCTACAAATCCTGGATCTCTTTGCCCTCCCTCTTCAACTTCTGGTGCCTTCTATTCTGAAATTTAGATAAATTGTCTGAGAAGCCCACTGAGCCCCCACTCCCACTTCTTCCAACAAGCAAGCAAAAATTTGAGCAGGCCCCGCTTAGGGCCTGGTCTTAAGGATCAGGATGATTTGGGAGCCTTTGGCTTAAATTAATTATTCAGGTAATCCAGGCCAGTTTTTGTTGCTGCTGTTTCTCTCTCTCTCTCTTTTTTAATCCCCAAGGAAACAAATGAATTTTTTTTTTTCTTTAAACAGTCAGACAGCCTGGTTCCAGCTATTTCCAAGCCCTGCCAAGACCTGGGAGCTTATAGGAAGAGGGGTAGTCCCTGTGGCTTTTCTCAACACCTAGCAGGTCCATGATAAAAGTTAAGGGAAAAAATAAAAGTTCTTCATTATCTCCAGGCATCAGGCTTTGAGGCCTACCCAAGCAAGGGGGCCTCCCATGCCTCTGGCCTCCACTTCACCCTTCTTTCCAAGTCTAAACAAACAGAGAAGCCACCCTGAGGGGTCACTTTGCTGCTCCAGAGTCACCAGCTCAAAATCTTCCTTCTTTTAAGAAGCACAGGCAGGTTGAGGGGGCATCTTCCTTAATCCCTCATTCCAAAAGAGTCCTAAAAGAAGAAAAAAACTCTTCTCTTCCTCCCACTCCCTAAACTTGCCTTCTTGTCTGCAAATAAGGCAGGCCTACTCAGCAGAGAGAAAAGAGAAGAAGGGAGAGGGAAATCAACAAAAAGAAGACACTGTGCCTGACTATAGAAAAGTGAGACCCTCCCAGCTCCACTCTAAAGACCCCCAGGAGAGTCTGGCCTCTTGGCAGACTCAGGGAAGGGATGGGGGAAATCAGCACTAATCTTCCACATCCCCTTTTTTGAAGATCCCCTGTCCCAATCCCCTTGCTGGCGCACCTAAGGACGTTGGAGAAGGAGTTGAGAGTTAAGATTTGTGTGTTTGCTTAGAGTAAACTTAGGCAACTATAGAGAAGGTGGGATGTTACCAGGCCAGAAGGAGGAGGGGGATAAAAAGAAACCATCAGACATTGACGTAAAACTAATTCACATCCACTGGTTTATTATTGATCACGGGGCATTTCACATCGACACTAAAATTCTTTATTGCAAGTTTTACAATAATCAAGTAAATTCAGTCCAAAAACACAATGACCACGATGGTGGGGTGGGGTGGGGGTTCTACCTATAGACTGCCTCTCTGAACTGAAAGTTCATTTTTATTTTCTTTTGGCTCCTCAAACTGCACAGCTCTGAGAGGCTCTTCAATGCATTTAGCTTTGTCTGCTGTCGTCCCCCCTCTCCTCCCAGCACCCCCCCCCAACAATAATACAAAAGAACTTCATAGCTTTGTTCTCCTTAAAATGACTTCCCCCTCACTAACCTCCCCTGGTGCATTTTCAATGCAAAAGGCCTAAGGAAAGAGGGGGGAAGGAGGAGGAGGAGAAGGATGAGAATTGGCTTAAAAATCTCTCTTTCCTTTTTTTTTCCTCATTTCCCCTGAAATTCACCCAAACCAGACCATCGCACCTTGCAATATATAATTTTTGCAGCTTTTTCCTTAAAAAATAAATAACCCCCCAAAATGGCCTTAAAAAACAAACAAACAAACAAACCCCAGCAGGTACCATGCTAAGACAACATCACATGCTTAAAAGGGTCCTTAACAGTGGAAGGGAGAGAAGGGCAGAGGGCTTGTTTATCTGTTTTGTCAGTTTGGAATTGACAAGGTATAAGGTGGAAAGAAGAGAGAAAAGAACCAAAAAATATATATATATTAAATTCTATAAATAAGAGTCAATTTGTGTGTGAGGGGAGGATGGGGGCATGGGGTGGGGGCAGGGTGTGAGTTATGTTTTATAACCTGGTAATGTCCTCTGCCCGTTGCTGCTCCGGCGGCGTGGCGCTCTGGGAGTGGTCTTCAGAAGTGCCCGGGGTGGCTGCCGAGAGGGTGCTGGGCGCAGCGCCGGCCGGGGGCGCTGACCTGACTTTGGTGTTGGGGAGTCGGTGGTCCTTCTTCCATTTCATGCGACGGTTTTGGAACCAGATTTTGATCTGCCTCTCAGAGAGGCACAGCGAGTGGGCGATCTCGATCCTTCTCCTTCGGGTCAGGTAGCGATTGTAATGAAACTCTTTCTCTAATTCCAGGACTTGCTGCCGGGTGTAGGCTGTCCTCGAGCGCTTGGGTTCCCCTCCGTTATAATTGGGGTTCACTGGGGGAAGGAGGAGGGGAAAAGCAAATAGTGGGGTTCAGAGGCAGCAGGCTCCCGCCCCCCACCCTCACCCCATCCTCAGCTCTGTGGAACAGGAGGAGGGGGTGGTGGAAATAAAGTCATCAAGCTAAATGGGTTATAAAGAAGTTGAAGGAAGCTGGAGACTTTGTAGTGTAATAAGAGGGGAATCCTCATTGTAACGACACTGAATTATTTATGCGCCCTTAGAAAGCGAGCATAGTTTTCACACATACATAACAGATCGTAGCACATGGCTCGGACTGCCCAGAGTAGCTAAGCCATAAAATTTATGGGGGATGTAATTACCCATTCTCGCTCGTAAATCCAGTTCAATTGTGCTAACCCAGAGTCGCTCCTGGAGAGAGAGGGGGAAGGAGAGAAAGGAGGACGGGGCCGGAGGGGGCCGGGGAGGGTGGGGAGCGCTGGGGAAGTGGGGAGGGAGGGGGAGAGCAAAAAGCAAAGTTGCCTACCCGTGCTAACGTGGATTTTTTTCATCCATGGGTAGACTATGGGTTGCTTGCTGGCGGCGCTGGAGGGATGGTCAGGGGCTGGCTGGCTGCAGGCTGGCGGGGCTGGGGACGGGGAGGCGGAGGCGCCTGAGAGAGGCGCCGGCTCGCAGAGCGGCTGTGATTTCTCGGGGTGGTGGTGGCCCGCCTGGGCCGGCCCGTGGCCTCGCGAATTGCCCGGCCCCTGGAGACTGGTGCAGCTATACTGGCGCTCGGGGTAGCTAGGGCGCGGAGGCGGTGGTGGGTACAGCTCCTGGTGGTGATGCTGGAATCCCGATTCCCTGGTCCGGCCGTAATATTCCGGACTGTGTTCAGGGATGTAGCTATTTTGCGAATATTCTTCGCATGGAGGAAATTTCGGATCGATGTAGTTAGAGTCCATCAAATACGAGCTCATGATCATTAATTTCTGGAGTGGAAAATAATTTTTCTCGCTTTGTCGTTTTTCTGCTCCATAAAGCCCTCCTACTAGCTAGCGACCCTGTAAAGTTACTTTCACCATGTGACTCCGCCGGCCAATCACACGGAGCAACCCAGTCCCCGGATAAGGAACCGAATCGCTTTATTCAAAATGTATCCAATTTTTTTGTGTGTGTGGTGGTGGTGGTGGTGGTGCTGGGGGTGGTGGGGGTGGTGATGGGGGGCTAGCAGGCGGGGGCGAGGTACCCCCACTGCGCACCCCGCCGACTGACAGCCCTCCCCTGCAAAAGGAGATGGGAAGCCCCCAGCTCCCTTCCAAAGCCTGGGCTTTGGGGGGCTGTCGGGAGGCTGTGGTTCAGCCCCCTCCCAGAGTCTCCCCGTGGGCCTCCGGTGGGCCCGCTGGGCCTCGGCTCCGGAGTTTTTCCAGAGGTCTCCATTCATGGCGATCCTGTGTCGGTCTGTGTAGGTCACTGGGCAGCGCCCCTCTTTTGCAGGAAGAGGAAGTTGAATGAGGAGGACTGGAGTGGAGGTTGGATGGGGAGGAGCACAGGCTGAGCCCAGGAGGCTGAAGAGCCTGGGTTGCCCCCCATCCAAGGATACCAGAGTCCATTCCCCTTCCCCATACACACTCACCCAACCCTATAGCCACGGGGCCGGCGAGGCAGGGTCCCAGCTGGACCAGGCAGGTAGAGGCAGCGGGATGCAAATGATTCTGACGTCATTTCTGGAGGTCTGGGGGTTGAGCCCCCGCTGAAGAGAGACAGGAAGTGGTTGGCAAAAGCAGAGTTCAGAAGCCTTGATCTCCTCCCCTGGTACCCACTGACCCTCCCTGCCCCAGCCGCAGAGCAGAGGAACTCTTCTACTGCTGGCTGCTGTTTCTACTCTCAATCCATCTGGCCTGTGGCTTTCTGATAACTACCTCTAAGGCTGGCTCCTTAAGGACGTGGGGCAAGGAGGAGAGAGATCTATCAGTGCCCCAGAGGGTGCCCATCCAAGGCCCTGGGAGCTCTTCTTTCTTCATCCCCACAGAGGGCCGACCTAGTTAAGAGGGAGGCCTGTGCGAGTAGAGCCTGCTTCCGGCCAAGGATAGTATCCATGTAACACATGTGTTTACATGTAAACACACATTCCCAGGGGCCAGCTCCAGGCTGCTTTCCAAAACCTGAGGGGTGAGCTCACCAAGGCGGGGAGGCTGGGCAGGACTTGGGGGTCTCCCGTCCATTCCTACCAGCTTCCCTCTCTCTGCCACCCACCCACAGGGAATACCCTGATGGAGGGTGTCAGGGGCACGGAGAAGGGAGGGGGCAAGAAAGGGTTGCTTTTTCTGACCCCCACCCCCAGGCAGGGGTGGCCACGTCATGCCACCAATTCCAATTAGCTGATCCCATAACTCAGAGTTGGGGGGAGGTAGCAGAAGGGAGAACCCAGGGAGGGAGCTGGGTCCCCTTGTTGTACTTGATAACAATTATAGTTTAAAATCATAGCTTGCCGGAGCTCGGCTATATTTTACTTGATAACAATAAAAGTGACACATAAAGTTAACTGTTTATGTTTTATTTATTAGACTAAATCTGCCAGCGGTGGTAGGAGCGCTTGCCTCGTCGCTACAGCTTTTATAGGGCTGTAAAACGTCATAAATCAGTCTCGCGGAATCGCCCGCACTCTTTGTGTCGGCGGCGGCGCAGGGCTGGCGGCCGCTGGCTGCCTGCTCCCTCCTTTCCACGAAAAGTCGTAATGTGATTTTTTTCCCTCTGATTTTATTATTATGATCGCCGCCGTGATTAGTCAATCTACCTTTAATTCGCCGCCCTACGCTGCCTCCTCCCAGCCCAGCCTGGTTGACACTTGAATAAGTACCTTTTAAAACGGCATAACAACTATTTGAGGCTTTAATTAGAACATCTGCAATTAAGGGAATGAGGAGGGGAAAAGGAAAAAAAAATAAAGCCCTCCTGAGAGGGAGCCTGAAGGCGGGAGATTCCCCACCTGTCTTTCACCACCTTAGGGATGCGGGAGAGGGGGTCCCCATGTCAAAATTTAGGGCTCACCCTGAGGTCAGGAATGAGAACAGCCTGGGCCCCCTGGCCACTCTCTGTCCTCCAAGCTGAGTCTCTGCTCACCCCCAGCTCACCAGGAGCCAGTGCTTGGGGGCCCTTGGATACCCCGTCCCCAGAAGGACAATGCCCCGTCCCCCTACCACCAGGCAGTCAAGGAAACAGGAATTCCCTGGGGGTACACCGTCTCTCAGAGGAGTGTCCCAAATTTCCCAGTGGGTCCCTGCCCTTTCCTGTCTGGGCCCGTCAGCCTGTGAGGACTGGCCAGTTTGGTTGAAAGAGGAACGTGAAACTGGGGAGGAGAAGGCTGGGGTTCAGTTGATAGTGGCTTGGAGCCTGGGAGGGTGGCTTATTTGTTGTAATTATTGGGGGTAGGGGTGGGTTAATTATAAGTTAGTGGAAGAGGGCAAAGGGAAACCAATGCTGAATGCTGCTCTACACAGAGTCTGAACTGCAGCCCCAGACTGGCCCCAGGGAAAGCCAAACCTCCCGATTGCAGGTAGGGTTGGGGGGAGGGTTGCTGAAGGAGGAGAAAGCCTTCCAGCCCCACCCCCAACCTCCCTTGAGGACCGCACCTGGATCAGGCTGCCCCACCCAATCCTCGCCCAGAATACTCTTTCTCTCCTTGGAAAGGTGAGGTCTTGGCGGGGCTCCACCGCTCCCAGCCCTCACACTCACCTTCTACCTGCCCTGCCCCCCGCCCTTTCCCCAACCCTCTTTTCTTCCATCTCTTCACCTTCTTGGGCTTTTTAGGGAGTTCCTCCCAAGGCGTTGCCCCTCCTCCGCCACCACTCCCCAGGATTCTAAGCTCCTGCAGGTGGGTCAAGGGAGCCAGAGCAGGAAACCCACTTTGGGCCAATACATATTAAGTAGATACAGAGAGTTCAGTGGCCTCCAGCTGAATGTCAAGTCTGTCTTTGGTTATTACACCTAACAAATACATATGCATACATACTGTTAATACTTATTAATACATTAAATGCCTCCTTGTGCAGCCATAAATATGTGGGGTTCTCATCCCAGGTTTGCACATCTAATTTAACATGCACCTCCAGAAAGTGAAATCTGGGAGATTCCTCCAAATGGGCCCACATTCATCTACATCGTTTGTCCAAAAGCCCTTTTGGGGTGCCTATACCTTAATAGCAAGGAAGTCGCCTATCACAAGGGGAAAATAGCAAGCCAGCTGGGCTCTACCACACACATACATGCAAACAATTTCACCTGGATATTATTACAAGTACAGAAATAAAATCCCTCTGGAGAGCTCTTGCACTTAGCATTGCCTTAATGGGGGGGGCACTCAAGCAGCTCTTGCCTGTGATGAGTCCTAGTATCTGGTCCTCTCTCCTTTTGTGCTTTGCCCTGCTGCTCCTATCTTGCCAGCCCAAGGATCTCCACCCCCGCTTACCCTCCACCTTTCTCTACCCCAATTTTATTTTATTTTTATTTTTTCTGACCACCCTTTGCCAGCTTCCAAACGCTCTCTGAATGCCACCCTCCCCATCTCCTTTCTAAATCTCGATCTGGTTTCTCTTTCGGAAACACGTTTCAGTACAAAGCGCTTCCCTTCTGACACCGCTGAAGAAAAATATGTGTCCATTGTGTGCGAGGCCTTATTGTGCCCGGATTACCATACTGACCGTTGGATAACCCATATTCCTCCCCTCCCCAGTAACAAGCTGCCGGCTGGGGGACCTCGGCAGCTCCACACATTCTGTGCTGTATCAAAATCTCACCCCTCAGACTCCCTGGATTTTCCTAGGTAGAAAAATAAATGGGAGAACCAACTCAGGATTTGGAGGGCAAAGAGAAGGAAAATGAGGGTCATTCCTTTTCCCACTCTCGGAAGTGCAGGATTTTGTGTGGGTGTATGATGTGGTTTTGTTATTGTTATGTTAGAGATTAAAAAATCGCAACACCTCGCTTTCCTCTTCCACAAATAAATGGACTATTACATGGTATGCCATCAAGTAATTCACTCCATTTTTATTTTTTCTCCAAGCATCCTGAAAACCCCAAAGTAAAGCAAGACTCTTATCTCATTTTTTTGCGGCATATGTATGTCTGTATGTATGTCTATATGTGTGTTTTTGTCCCTTTCTAACGCCAGCAGGCAGAGGTAATGTATGCAAAAGAATATGCAAATGCTTAATTGATTTTTTCTTAAATCTCTTGTCAGTAAAAGTAATGAATTGGTCTAAAATGATTTTAATAACCTGGACGTGTCACCAGAAAATACTAAACCTTTTTTTTTTTTCCCCTCCTGGAATCGCTTATAGTCTCAAAAAAAAAAAAAAAAAGCAATCATGGAATGTTAATTTGCCCCCCTTTAAAATATTAAAGATGAATTTCTCTTGTTTGTTCGGAGACCATAGGCAAGGTCCTCTCGTGGATTTCCCCCTCCTTGCCTTGCCTTCCTTGGAATTCAATTTTCCTCAAATCTCGTTTAAAGTGGCTTTTTAAAAAGTGGCCGCATTTTAATATTGGTTAGACAGAGTGACCTGCATTTCACCTCGGGTGTTTGACTTGTTCCAATAGGTCACTGCCATGGGGTTATTGATGGGGAAACTCCATTGAAATTTGTCTCTTCGCAAATGGCCTTTAGATCTTCCAGCGAGTTCAATAACTAGTTATAATGTGGAAGGGGAAAAATGAAGGCCCTGGGCTAACGAATTTGATGTTTCATTTTTATGCTGGAGAAATTGTTAGTTAGAGATTGGGTTCCTCACCCCCTTTCCAGGTCATCCTGGCCTCACTCACCCCCACTCTCATCCAAGGCTGCTGGATTATATCCCCTTTAAAACTTGAGCTAGGGTGTCCCTTTCTGCCTTTGATGCAAGCTTTAATTCTTTTTACTATTAATATTGTTGCTGTTGCTGCTAAAAATTCTGACTTAAGGCTTCAGGAGATTTGTAACCTTAACTTTCCTGTTAAGGGGGGAAAGGACTTTTACTTTTAAAGGAGGTGAAATGTAGTTTTGAAAGTTCTAGGAATTAGGCTGGCTCTGGAGTAGCTTATGGTGGGCTCCCTGGCCTGTGCTTCCAGAATTAATGAAATGATAGGAGGCTGATGAAGGCATCTCAAAATGGCCCAATCTCTTCTTGGCCTCTGAGCTGCCACGGACCCATGGGATCAGGCCCCAAGGACCAAGAAAGGCAGAAACTGGGAAAGACTAAGGAGAGAGGGAGAATTCCATGGAGCAGGCAAGAAAATCTTGGGTGTCTCTCCTCCAGGGTCAGAGACAGAATTCCTGGGGACTTGGAACTGCTTTCTTCACGAGAAGGGCACTCCAGGAAAGCCCACCGCCCAGAGACAGTGCATTTTAGTGAGCTGGAAAGAACAGAGGAAAATAATGGGGGTGGGGGAGTGATGGAGATTTTTTATAAGATTCCCTTGTTTTCTGGAGTCCTCAAGGAGTCAGAGAGGAAAGGGCAGGGGAAGGGAAGGAAGGTCTTTATTTTATTCTCCCCAACCACAACCAAGTTGGGGCCCCCTTGACTATCCAGAAAAAATCTCTGTGAGAAAGGATTGTGGAGAGCTTGGTCTCTCCGGACTGACCCAGCCATACAAGATCATTACCATTATTAACCTCTATAATAACAAGAGCATCATTCCCTCACTAAACAGAGCTCCCAATGTGCTTCATTTTCCTCTCCCAGGAACTGTCCCTTCTCCTTCCCTGCCCAAAGGGGC